GTTTCAAATCTTGAGGTTTGTGATCATACTTTACAACAGATATAGAAACACACAACAACATGCTATGTTAAACACATCTGTTTGATAAGTCACAAGCCAAAGGTACTTACAAGTCACTTTTGTCTTGATCAATTTCAATTGGAAGTTTGCCACTTAAATTTCTTTCAAGGACATCTAATGGCATCCTAACCATGGAGTCAATTGGGTAGTGGAGAAGATCTTCTGATCCAGTCAAATCACTAAGTGTATTTGTAATTCACTCTTCTAGTAAAGCATAGCTGGCTTCAATATCAAGATATGTCAACTGATTCAGTTGCTGAAAAGAAGATTTGTTTGTCAGTGAGCCAGAGAGAACATAACTTAATAATAATAATAACCTGCAAAGTAATCTTTTGCATTATGTTGTACATCCCACACAAAACACAGTACATTAACATTATCAAATGGTTGTACAAGTTCAGCACAGATGGAATCACTGCAGCTAAACACATCAGAAAATAATTATTATTTGGTTCAAGTACAAGTCAGTTTCCAGTAAAGATTAGTAGGATCAAATCCTCAGTACCTTCCTCATGGCTTTGTTTCCTTGTTATGGTTTATATTCATCACATTCTGGTATCATAATAATAAAGTGAAAATTAAAATTAACAAGTCCATAAGTTATGAATGAGCACCATTATTACTTTTTAATCAATTTTACAGCCACACCTCTCATGTATGTCACATAATACTATGTCTGGTTTTGTTGCAGCATGCCCCATATATGATGAATGCACCATGCTCATGACCATAGGTCATGTTATCCTAGCCCTCTAAATCACAAGGTTGAGCTTTTCTTTTTCCAGTTTGCTCATATCACATATGTTGTGTGAACATTTGCTCAAAACCTTGTTTTACAGTAATAGTAAGAGTAATGTCATTTACAACAGAGTGTCAAAAAAAGTCTCTTAACTTTTAAAGTACTTCACTGCTTGCTGAATTACTTGCACAGTGTGTAGATTTTGTGTGCCCTTTATTTATATTATTATTATTATTATTATTATTATTATTATTATTATTATTATTATTAAGCACAGCTAAGGTGGACCTCTAGACACTGTTCTTGCATCTCAGACAAGGAGAAAACCTCGCTGGTCACCTGCTAATATTAATATTAAATCAATTATTGACTATGACATTATCAGACTCTAGATACTAGTACTGAATGCCTAGATTCCTCTTCTGTAGCCAATAACGATAACATATCTTTCAGTTCCTGTTAAGCTCAAACATGTATTATGTATGATGGACCGAAAAGAGAGGATGAGAGTGGTTAAAGTCTCTTTTTGTGATGGGGTTGGATTTCCCCCAAAGACATGGTGAGTATTGGCTTTCCAAATAGTATGTGTTATTATTATATATTACACATGGCGCAAATTGCTACTTAATTATTTCATATCGCAGCGATCCGTTTTTTCGGAATTAAAATTTGCAAACTCGTCTTACAAGAATTTTGGCTTTATGCGCTCAATTACAAGACTTGTATCTTGCTCAGTTTCGAATCTCCGTACGTTTACCACTAGTCGGATAATAAGAAATGATAAGGGCGACAATCACACGGCAGAACCAGTGACCCACTTTGGTTTCAGAGAAGTACCGGAAAAGGAGAAAGAGAATTTAGGTAAAATGATGTAAAGATAATAATTATATCCATTAGTACAGGGTATTGATATTATCACGTTCTTCAGTCGGACAGGTCTTTGCAAATGTGGCTTCAAAATATGACTTGATGAATGATCTAATGAGCCTGGGCGTACATAGACTCTGGAAAAATTATTTCATCAATTCGCTTGCTCCAGGACCAGACACTAAGCTTATTGATGTTGCGGGAGGTTCAGGTGAAGGAAGAGTTCAATAAGATATGAATAAGGATAAAACGAATTAATCATTATATTATCAAATTTAGGCGACATTGCCATCTCCTTTCTTAAATACTGTCACAAAACTTATGCTTCGCCTTCACCGCACGTCACGGTAGTCGATATAAACCAATCAATGCTATCTGTTGCCTCATCTCGTCTTGAATCATTACCTTATCCGAAAGCTGAATACGACCTACTTCTCTCCAATGCAGAATCTCTCTCTTCTGTTCCTTCCGATTCCTTTGATGCGTATACGATCGCATTTGGCATTCGTAACTGCACCCACATCTCTCGAGTCCTGTCGGAGGCATACCGTGTGCTAAAACCAGGTGGTCGATTTATGTGCCTAGAATTCGCACCCAAGCAGAGTTTGGCGATAATAGAGAAATTATACGATATTTACTCTTTCGATGTGATACCAGTCATCGGACAGGTGATCGCTCAGGATAGAGATAGTTATCAGTACTTGGTGGAGAGCATTAGACGGTTCCCTCAACAAGAGCAATTAGCCGAGATGGTTAAGAAAGCTGGGTTTGTGGTGATGGGAAAGGGATGGACGGATCTGAGTTTTGGAGTTTCCGCTATACACGAAGGTTTCAAGATATGACAAAAGAAATATCAAAGTTGCTCTTAAAGGTTGGGGGTGGGGGTGACTGTGGTTACAATGATGGTGCTTTACAAAGGCGTGCTTGGCCACAAGAAATACTATAAAAATTGAATCAGTTTGGATGATTTAAAATATAGAGGATTAAATCATGTTCAATGGGACATTTACTATTGATTTATTATGGGGGCAAATAATAACAACAAGCCGCAACTAGGCTGAAATCAACGTGAATACTTGTAATATCCTTCTCATAACATGATCATGTTTCTGTAACAACCTTTTTAATAACTTTTCCAACAATTAGCCGAAAATTATTGATCAAGCAATGCAACCTTCTCTTTAAACAGTTTCTCTGTCTCTATCCAAACACGTGCTGTATCCCTCTCTGGAAGTTGCAACAAAGTTGGAAGCAAGTCTCCACAAAACTGTTCGCTGCTTTCACGAGGAAGAAGTGTGGGAAGATGATCGATGGAGATTACGTCTACAGGCTTTGGGTTACTAGGGATACAAACAATATGAGAATGAAACACGGACATACTACTAGGAACCTAATGTCACATACTTACTTGGTCTCAACTTGTACAGTGGGGTTGTCAAAAGTCGTGTTGATATTGTAAATGGGAATAGGATTATTCGGGTTTGTCGTATCGCAACTGACATCGACGATCACTGACAGTTTTCTTTCTCCGTCTAACATTTCCTTTGTAATAAACGGCGGAATTTTCTGGCTGAGATAAATACAGTTTACGAAAATATCACATTCAAGGATTTCTGGGAACGGACCCCCCGGTTTTGTCTCTTCCATGTCCCACTTGATGATGTTTGATCTGGTGAAATTGCGAGAGACAGATAACAGTAGAATCGTATAAAATGGTATTACAAGCTTGCAAATTGATAATTAAAAGAAACTTACTCGGGAATCCCAACTTTCTGTGCAATAGCAATGGCTCCTTTCCCACACCTGCCCAACGCACCCACAACCATCACGCGTGGGTAAGAGTTACCTAGTGCTACTGTTCTCGTGAAGAAAAAAAAAAGCGTATTAATAACCTGAATTATGATGTAATAAATAAATGCACTACTATTCATGCCTTACCTGCAGCATCCAAACGTTGCTTGATATGACTTACAAGTGCGTCCTCATTGGGATAAGGGTCAATTGGCGGATACTCTTGCCCACTATGTAGATGTTGGTTTGCCCAAACATCGAGACCAATCGCTGTCCCTGCAAAGCCTGCATGAAAACCAAATGCTGCTATTCTCCGACCTGTAACCGCAGTCAACGACGAACGTCATATCTCTGCGTTAAATTCTCGTCGCTTCCCAGGTCTTGGCTTGCTCCATCGACTCACCTCTCTCATCGTTTAAAAATTCGAGGTCTAAGATTGTTCCTCCCCCCTTGGCGAACCTCCTTATAATATCCTGCCATCCAGCTTGATTTTTGTAACAATGAGCAAAAAAAATGTGTGTATGTGCAAGTGGAGAATTGTCGTTTTCGGGTAGCTCTTTTAGTCCAATGATATATGCATCGAGGGGAGCTGTTTTCCAACTCAAAGAAGGAGCGAGAGTACAGCCCACTCTGGAACCGATAATATGAGAAGACGCTTGATGAGATTTTGATGCGAACGTGATATGTGAACTAGAACATGTATCATTGAGCAATTTACCTTTCATATTCCTCATCATCAAATATTCTTTGTGAGGATCTTTCTACGGTTATCTTAAACCCTATTACGGATATTATTAATTAATTAGAATAGTTTTCCATCGATCGAGAGTTCGAGTCGCTCAGTCAAGTCTCTGTAGAGTCTCCTTCTCCACTATCATTTTTTACCACGTTCCAAAAGCGTTTGACATTTGGAGGGTGTAATCGCAGCTCTATGTTCCTTCCTTTTAGTCTCAGTACGAAGCCATAAGTGTACCATGATTCCCGAAGAAATTTGATTAGAAAGCGAGACTGTTTTAGTATCAGAGATAATCTATAAAATTATAATCACATGATCATCAAAAATCAAGAATTAAAATGATTGTATTACTATGGATAGAACTTGATTAAAGTAATGGGTCATTTGATTACTGTTGCGACGTGTTCGCTAAACCAATGGGCGTTGGACTTTGTGGGGAATTTGGAGAGAATTCTTGAAAGCATCCGGATTGCCAAGGAGCGTGGAGCTAGATTGAGAGTTGGGCCTGAATTAGAGATCACGTAAATAATTTTTGCGTGAACTATATGTTATGAACATGTCCGATTAATGATTCTGATTAAATTCATCTTTACGTATATAGTGGATATGGATGCTTTGATCATTTCCTTGAAGGTGAGTTAATGTACTAAACGTTGAATGTCTTACCCTAGTTATTAATTTATATCGATTCCGTTCAGGTGATACTTATTTGCATTCATGGGAAGTAATGGCCAAGATACTTACATCTGACGATGCCAGAGATATTCTGCTGGATATCGGAATGTAAGCAGAATATCGTATTGGCATTATATTGATATCTTCGCCCTTTTTACGTTTATTATTTTTATGTCTGTTAAGGCCAGTGGCTCATAAGAATATCAAATACAATTGCCGTGTCATTCTTTATAATGGAAAGATTTTGTTAATTCGCCCAAAACTATACTTGGCTAATAGCAACAACTATCGTGAGATGAGATATTTTATTCCGTGGCCTGCGCGTTTAGTAGAGGAATATTATCTACCAAGAATGATAAAAAATATAACCGGACAGGTGAACTTTCTTATGATGTTGTGATTACTTGGGACGTATATTGATATAAAAGCTTCTGTTTGGTACGTAGACTACCGTGCCAATTGGTGATGCGGTTATTTCAACATATGACACTTGTATTGGCGTAGAATTATGCGAAGAGCTATTTACGCCCAACAGGTCATCGCTGACTCTACGAATGTGATTTTTTTGATTAAACCGACCGAGTGGGTTGCACTGACATATAATACGCATTTAGTCCTCATATTAGCATGAGCTTGGACGGTGTCGAAATTATAAGTAACAGCAGTGGAAGTCATCATGAACTCCGGAAATTATACAGGCGTGTTGACTTGATCAAAGGGGCTACATTTAAAGTATATGAATTTATAACCTCGTGTATGAATATGGGCAACACATATTAGCATCGTTAATGATATATTTTTACTTTTTACTTACTGTCAAATAGAATGGAGGAATTTACCTCTATGCCAATCAACAAGGGTGCGATGGTGATAGATTATATTATGACGGATGCGCTCTGATTGCCTTGAATGGGCGGATAATAGCGCAAGGATCACAATTCTCATTAAAGGATGTGGTAAGGAACTTGATAACATTGCATAGGAAAAAAGAAATTAGCTTTTCATTTTATTTACTAGAACGTGATTCACGTCAGGAAGTAGTCACCGCAACAATTGACATTGAAGATGTAAGGTCGCATCGATGCGCAATTAGCAGAGGAATGCAAGCATTTCAAACAGTGGCCTATAAGAGATTCCAAGCTGATATGGCATTGTCACAGCCAGAAATAGACAAGAGGACGAATATACGGCCCACAGAAGCTATTCAAGAGTTTTATCACACACCCGAGCAAGAAATAGCGTAAGAATTAATCGATATAAAAGCATTTGTATTGGTGTCTATTAGTGATTTTATAAAGAGCTTTACATCAACGATATGAATTTGACGCTTGAATGCGTTCACGTATCCTTTTAGCTTGGGTCCGGCATGCTGGCTATGGGATTACCTCCGTAGATCAAAAACTAGTGGGTACTTTTTACCACTTAGTGGCGGCATAGACAGTTGTTCAACTGCAATCATTGTATATTCTATGTGTAAACTTGTCACGGATGCTGCCCAAGAGGGAGGTAGGAAATTAAAAAGAACTATGTTTACATATCTGAAGTGATGAGGAAATAGGTTTCATTGTTGTTTATTTCAGATGACAAGGTTATCAGAGACGCCAGAAGAATAGTCGGAGAAAGTGAAGATTCCGATTATGTTCCCAGTGATCCAAGAGAACTCTGCAAGTAAGTTTAACAAGATAACAAAATTTGCATGCTTTGCAGGATAAATATTCATAATATGCTTTGTTTTATAGACGACTATTCCATACATGCTATATGGGAACGGTTAATTCGAGCAAAGAAACACGCGATCGTGCTAAGCGATTGGCAGATGTAATAGGGAGGTAAGCCCCATCGCGTGTCAAAGACGTGTAATTGGTTTCTAGTTTGTTTTAAGGAACCTGATATATCAGGTAATTGTCTAATTTGGGGTGTTTTTTTTAAATAGTTATCATATCGATTTAGATATGGACGATATTGTCAATTCAGTCTGCAGACTATTCACATTTATAACAAAACGAAAACCAACCTTTCGCTCACACGGGGGAACTAATGTCGAAAATTTGGCGCTGCAAAATATTCAGGTTTTTTTTTTTTGCGAAACATATTATTGATTTTATTGTGCGCGTTACTATTATCTCGGTTTTCTAAAATTATCGGTTTGTGTTTAGGCTAGGCTTCGTATGGTCCTTGCGTATCTTTTTGCTCAACTTATGCCCTGGGTTCGCAATCGCCCTGGAGGATTACTCGTACTTGGAAGTGCTAATGCGGATGAATGGTATGAAAAGATATATAGCTTTAGAGGTGTTACGCCAATTTATTCGAGTCACTGGATACACTTCAACTGATAATATTTTATTTCGATCCTATTGTTCTTGTCACCCGCTTGTAGTCTAAGAGGTTACTTTACAAAGTATGACTGCTCGAGTGCGGATATAAACCCTATTGGAGCAATCAGTAAAATCGACTTGAGGCAATTTATTACTTACGCAAAGAACGAATACCAAATCGACATTCTTGATGAGTATGCTATCTAAAATATGGTTTAATAACATTATTATTATTATTATCAAGTCTTTTGTTGCTAACAAATTGTATGCTATCAGGTTTCTCAATGCAACGCCAACAGCTGAGCTTGAACCGATTACAGGAGATTACGTCCAGGCAGATGAAGTAAGCGCATTTTCTATTGTGGAAACAACAATACTGTTCACATTACTCAATTTATGTATATTGAAAAAGGCGGATATGGGAATGACTTATGAAGAGCTATCGATATTTGGAAGGCTTCGCAAAATTGAAAAATGTGGTCCATTCTCAATGTTCTCCAAATTAGTACATAGATGGGGCGACATACTTCGACCGACTGAGGTATGAAAGACGCGTGAACTTATTATTGCAGATAACTGTTCTTGCAAACATAATCACATTTCCATTAATGATATATCACATAGGTCGCAACGAAAATTAAGCGGTTTTTCATCTATTATTCAATCAATCGTCACAAAATGACAACACTTACGCCTGCGTACCATGCAGAATCATATAGTCCAGACGATAACCGATTTGATCTGCGTCCATTTTTGTATAATTCTGCTTGGGAATGGCAGTTTGAAAGGATCGATACACTTGTAAAAGAATTAGAGGAAAATAAATAATGTCGCGGTGGTTGATAATAATATATTGAGGAGATTCACCGATGCCAAGAACAAGAGCCGGATGTTATATTCAAACTACAAATAAAAAACACGTTGCTTCTTTTATTTCAAATCAGGCGGGCCGGCAGCGGTGATTGGGCTTCATATTGAACGCCTTCTCTTGCATTTTCCTCATCAATAACTGCTCGGCTAAGTCAACAAATTCTCCGTTTCCATAGGTATACACAATATAAGTCATTAGAATTAGGATTGTGAATTGTGAGACAAGAAATTTAGCACGGGCTTGGAGGCTTTGTTCTAATTGGTTTTCACTCTCCTCTGTCCCGAACAATGGATCTAAGAATAAGAGATAAAGAATCGGGTTGGAGGAGAGTATAATAGCTACACTTACGGGATAATATTTAATAATAGTTAACGGCTATACTATAGAATAACCATGGAACGAACAGGCCGGAATCTTCCCGATAAGAGAAGAACTTTTGACACGTCTTATATACGAAATCGTTAACGCCCCGCATAAAATCCAAACACGAAGGTCAGCCTGTCAGAGCCACCAAAAGGGACAATCTGCATAACCCGACTTGTCATCTTTGTGAAAGCGTTTACTCCCGTCGACAATCATGAAAGCGACTGGGCCCCCAAACGAATTGTTGGCCTTGGGGGTCATATTTGCACACAATAACAAAATGTTTGTCTTTATAAAAAAAGATCAAATTTCCATACATTTTAGACAAAAAATATTAATGGGATACTTAATGAAAAACTTCAAAATTTATATTAGTGGAGGTGTATGGCGATTTTAGTAATAAAACGTTCTCTTATTAGTATGTATTTCTTGTTTAATATTAAATGTTAGCATATTCAGCTGGTATTTATTTCTCCTTTAAAATTATAAGTGGTGAATTAAAAGACAAATTACAGAGTCTTTACTTTTGTCATCGATTTAAACGTTCAAAGATTGGTTTACGAGCAACTGATTTTAAAATTTACCGAACACTTTTCTGGATAAATGTGACTATAACTTACTCGCGTTGCAACGCGAATTTAAATTTGTATGTAATGGTAAAGAGTATTTTATTCCAATAAAATCGAATTCAATTGTGCCACTGTGATTACAGTACAAAATAATATTTTTCATGAATCGAATGATAATGCCTCGATGTCATAATTGTGAACCGTTAAAAAAAGAAAGGCATGAGCTACGAATTGGAAGAACTCGAAAAATAATTACACAAAGCTCTTGATTTGAGAACCAAACTATATAATTTTTACGAACGCATTGTAATTACGTTCTAATTATCCGTATATGTGTGCTATCGACTAAAGCAGTTAGGTGTCCATCAAGCGACTGCTTCCCAAGAAAAAACGAAAGCTGCCTAACACGAAATTATAAAAAACTGTCTCATGTATTGTTTTCTCGGTCTTTTAACTCGACATTAACCAATTTTTCTCACCCAATCTCAGTGACCGGGTCCAAATGTTTTGCGTTTCGGGGTTATTAGAATTAATGTCAATTTCATAACGCCGCGAGCAGAATTAGCCAAATTCATAAATCGATGTGCCGAAGATGAATATGGTCACGTGAACGATAATATTCCACCGTTATGTTTTTTTCTTATTAAAGTTTCAATAACATTATAACCGCATACTCGTTACTCGATGGTTCTGTACAAATTCAATTGAACCATAAATTTGCGCAGAGACATAAGATCTCTTTTATAAATGCCAATCAAAAAAACCAATACTTTATAAATTTACTATGGTTTATTATAAACACGGGTGTTCATTGTTGTAAAACGTCATAGCAATGAAATTGTAACCAAACTATATAAACTCCAAACACTTATCTTAAGCTTGTCGTCCAAATGTCGAGCTTACCAAGCCTGATTTTGGAAAATTGTATGAATGGTTGCTTACCTAAAATATGCTTGAAAGAAGATTATTACATAATTTCAATAAACGGGCTTTGTGCGCAGGTATAGTAAAGTTTAAACTTGCTCTAAACGTGTCTGGTTTATTCCACTAATTGTTAATCATACTGTCGTTTTAAACAAACAGTAATATGACTTGTAAAATACTTTTCATTGAACAAACATCGACTCTATTTTATGTAAATGCGAAGGTTATTCTACACTAACTGTGATGATCATTAAACAAAATATGCCCAAAGAAAATTTGCTAAAGACATTTTTGAAATGCCAGTTTACGCGTATTCTTGATATGTGAATTAACGTTTTGATAAATTAATATATACTGTATTCACAAATATACTACATTTGTAAATTATTTTCTGCTAATAACATACGATATCGATTTGAAGAAGATATGATGTCAACTGCGTTGCGTGATGTTGACTTGCTTAATATTAAAGCAATTTAGAAACGTGATCACATACGCCTGAACAAGGTTTTGCTGCCGCATGATAAAGACTGGATCGATTATTTAGTAATAATACCCAATGTTTATACGATCTTTAATTTACAATAAATTCTCACCACCTGTTCAATGTAAACTCTGGTTTTAAAGGACTTGATTGCATATTTTCAACTTGTTTTATTAAGTTATTCATTACAATATAATTATTACCCACACTCAATACGTGCATCAATTACCAGGTAATAATTGAATCAGAATACAAATTCTAGCATCTATTAAGTTTTGTATAAGAATTGCGTATTTCCTCGTACTGTATTATTGACCAATACTCTATTAAAAATAAAAATCTCGACCGTGTTTCTTTTATACCATCTGCGTGGCAGCAGGGTTGTGCGCCTGTGTGACTTCTTCCACTTCTCTTTTCCCAGTTCCATTTGCATTCGGAACATCCTTCTTTGCTGCCAAATACTGATACCTCGCGGGTATATGATCATTTCCATCTCCTGGGCCAAGGAACCATCCGAAAACGACAAAGTTTAGACGATAACTTAAGATTGCACTAGCGATGCCGATGAGTGAGCCGAGGATTATTTGGAAAGGAAAATGACGAAAGTCGCGCACACGGGTGAGAGCTACCCATGTGGCAAGAGCCAAAGGAAGGGTGAGGACTAGTCCCTAAAAGTGTATAGACGATGTACGAAGAGTTAGATCCGTTGAACGATTTCAGGCAAAGGCCACACCAAACATCGGTTGATATGAGGAAAGTACAGATTTAAAAACAAAATAGTCTCGTTCTTACCTTCCATACGTACGCTGTTCCGTTCCATGGCTGAGAAGAAAACAAAAGGCAAAAGTCAGCTTAATGCAGCACTGAATTCGCCATAATAATATTACGATACTATTTTTTTTCACATCACAATTCCTCTTCTATTCGCTTTCTTACCTTCAATTTCGAATTCAAGTACAAGACAAAGAACACCCATCCTGCAAAAGCATTTGACGCATGTCCGCTGGGAAATCCTTGGAAATCAAACTTTTTCAATGGCTGCGTACAAATGTCGGCTGTATAATAAATAATATCCGGGCTTAGTCTGTGCACATCGGGTTGACATTTCGTAAGAAAATATGGGCGCAATCCAAGATGACCTAAAAAAAATACAAATGGTTTAGGACTGCATTCGGAAAGTAAAGAGAAGACCACAGTAGATAGCATGCTGTCAAAAGTTTGGGTTCTTACTTCCAACTGTGATCCAAAATAGTGACGTAAACACCAAGGAAAATGCTGCAAGGATTTAGACATTTGAGTATGAGGATTAATAATGATAAAAGTCCAGTAATGCGTCCGCATATATCTACTCACCCACACTAGTTGCATGGCCAGTGACCATATGATACAAATCCCATTTGTTCCAAAAGAACAACACTTGGAGGATAAGTAAAATAATCAATGGAACACCCCCAGACAAGAAACCGGCGACACCGGAAGATATTATTTCGGGAATCTCAGGACGCATATAATCCTCATCATCTACGCGAAAATAGGCTACCGGTGGTTTAGGCACCAAAAAGAACCTGGGAGGTAGTTGTAAAGTCAAATTAGCTGGATTGGTCTTTCTTTCTTTCCTTCCTTGACAGGTAACCAATTCTCGGGACTTTCAAGAGATGCTCACCATTGCGATATACCAAACATTGCAAGAATTAATAACCAATCAAATATGAGTCCAATCCAAACTCTTTTGGTTCTTGAAGGGACATTCAAAGGCGACGAAATGAACCTCGACTTTGCATTAACATGATAATACGATTTTTTAAGTTTAAACAACGGAAACATGTTTAATTTGTGCGAAGAAGAGGCAAGTGCTTATCACAGTAATTGCGGGGAGGGGACGAATAACTTCCTTATTAACAAAGCACCGAAAGGACAGTTAGACACGCCGGGAAGTGCAATTTATATATGAACGATGATAGCACAACAAAATTAGATAAGTCAAATTTTGGGCAGGCTTGTGACCTTCACAGATTGTACGAATTAAAAGTTATCTGCTTTATTTGTCTCACATTCCATATAAAGTATTGAGTTTCTTGGCGAACACATTTGTGTTCCAAATAAAACCCCATTTTTTGATGTCACGTCATTAAAAGGAACAAAGAGGGAAAGTCGATGGTATTGTTATGGTAGTATCAATAAACATAAGCAAATAATTTTGGTGAACTGTACACATACCGTGTAACGATTCAATGCTGCAGTGTAGTAGTGCCGTTTTCAACGGAAGTGTAAACATGGGCCACTGGCAAAGAGCACGCTCAAGAACTCGATACAAAATGTCCAAGATTATGATGGACAGTGGTTCGGTCTGAAGTAATACATCGCTATCTGAAGTCCCATCGAGACGAGTTTAATCATCAGCGTTAGTTAATCTGTCATTCACAAAAATCTCGACATGCATTCAAAGCTGACATCCATATCAAGTAATCAGAACAGGAAGGTTTTACTAAATGTTAAACATGTTAAGTACCAATGAAAACATCAGCATCATAAGTAAGCGCACTGGCGAAAAACTAGTGTAGTTGAATTTTGGTAACTTCCATCACTTTGATAATTGTAATATTAGTTAGGCAAATTTGCACGCTACAAAGTTTGGTATACTTTCTGTCATGAGGTATCCCGAAGAGCGCGCATACACCCACAGCACACGCGAAAGTTTGCAAGTAATTTATTTGAAACACTACATATCTGAACGAACAACGTCTATTAGATAACGTAAAAGACATATGCTTAATGAACATAACCATGGTGAATTTATTTTGTACGTACATTCATCATGTTAATGTAGGATGTAATCACGTATTTGCATTCTTGTTTAGGAATTGGGTTGGTATGCCACATAGAAATAAACGTTTTCTTCATAAAGATAAATTTTGACAAGCAAGAAAATTTTGTCGAACGTTGCAACAATTTTTACGCGCATAACTTTCCCACGTCGTATGATTTCGATCTGACTAATAATACGGGTTTAGAGTGATACAATAACATTACCAGTAAATTATTCGAATTATTGAGTTTTATTATTATTTATATTACTTTGTTTTACACGCATAATAACATATAATACCGTATTTCTCTGACTAAAGTACCCCCGCGAGCAAAATACCCCTCGGCAGTTTTGAGGCCTGATTTTGTAAAATACCCGGGGTATTATAAACAAATAATTTTATGCAAAGTGTTCCTTAATATTAATTTTATTTGTCAATATTAATAGTCATCTATCATATATTCTCGTATAATATATCATCCTCATAAACGTCTCCATCAATATTACTAGTTATATCAAGCATGTTATATTAATATGTACACTACCAATCAGATAGTGCCCTACTACTACATCAAATACAAAGTACCCCCCGAATTAGTACCCGGGGTACTTGAGTCAGAGAAATACGGTAATAATGTTAGAAGACAGAACAGATAATAATGAACACAAACTCTGATTCTAACCTATCATTCTGGTTTGGGTTCATAAGATGGGGCTTTTTTATATATTATATCCGAATTTTATGGAAATATGAGATCAGTTAATGAAAGAATAAAATCACAAAACACGACCTCTAACTAAAGAAAATGCATCTGCACCTTTTTATTTTCCCGTTTTTCTTTGCTATGGGTTTTACATCGAGACTATCACAACTTTAAACTTGTAATCTCATCATACAACTCCTGAAGAAACACAAGCCAGCATAAAACTATTTTGCTGATATCAACTACTAATTAAAAAACATTTTACCTTTCCTTGAATACCCGTTCTCCTTGAGATATTAACATTAAATAATTCATTGTTAATATTAATCACTCGCTATCTGTAATTTGGTGGAAGCAAATTGAAGGACCGGACGCCTTACACACGTTCTCCCATCGTCTTGCGACATCAAAATCAGATTGAGCTTCATCCCAGTTTAGACAATTTGATGTATTAGCAATATTTTAAATAATATTCCATTCGATATTCTTCCCATCGGGTAGGCTAAAAGACTTAAACTAAGAGGATGCAAATGGGCAGTTGCAGGAGGTTTATCAAAAATTAGCAGACATTGAGAGTAACAAAGCGGCCGAGATGGTCTACACCGTCTTTCCGAGTATCGGGTTGCCTGTGCTCCGATGGACCAGCGCCGAGTAGGCTAAGAAATTCCCGTCACACACTTACTCTCGACCACATTTTCAAAAAATTTACTTGCCTTGTGATAATATTTATTAAGGAGCTGTTTTGGGTTTTTCCCTGCTTGGAATTAAGGATATTAATATGTTTGAGACTTTTTATATACAAGTCCATCTTTGGTCGGAATGGCTTTCGTTTAAAAAATCAATAATGTTTCATTCACTACACGTCCGTTTAAAATAATTGCGTATTAATTTATCAGATATTTATCGCAACAAGTCAATCTACGAGCACGCGTATAAAATGTAGTACACATAACACGTGATCTTTTGATCATAATGTCTGCCAGTAAAATGTTTACCTCATTTTGACACCAAATTATCATAAATTCAAACATAGGGCACAAATGTCTCCAGCCATTTGACCATTTTTAGCTCATGCAGTCAATTAAATGTTTACTTTGTCAGGTTTGTTGCAGTCTGCCCGGTTCATTTCGCCGACAAATTTTCGCCAGCATTATTTTGAAATTATCCTTTTTTGGTAGTTTTTGTCGGTGAAATGTACCTGTCGGTGAAATAATTGTCGGTGAAATAAATGCCTCCCGCCCCGAATAATATACAATAAGGCAGTAAGTAGTAGCCCAACTTTACTCGTAATATTTACAAGAAAGAAAAACCCGCTGATATTATTTTATTTTTACGTAATGCGCATTAAACACAACATACATTATATTACTATTTATTTACTAATTATGTAACGCACGTTGATAAATTACTTCATCTAAACTAATCTATTAATTAATCATTATATTACTATTTGTGAGGTAATGAAAGATTAAGAATTTTTGCTATCCGTTTAGCGTGTTTTGGCGCACTTTCCCAAAATTTAGGTTTATTTTTAATACTTTTTTCGAGTAACGTTCGCAGTTCATTGACACTGGCCTCATAATATCTGTTTGAGAAAAAAAAAATAATGTTAATATTTGGTCCTTATAAATTCTAATCCCTTAGCACATAAAATTTTTCTACTTACATTATATCAGGAAACCAAGCCTTGTCTCGTCTTTGGCGTGGGGACAAGTAATACAACTCAATTTCTGCTAGTACCTGTATAAAATAGTCAACTCGGTCAAAATCCTATCTGGTTAAAATATGTATACCATTTGTCATCTTACCTCAGCCTTTTGAGCCAAATATGCTCCTCGTTCATTGCAGTCTTCAATTGCATTGCACAACAACCCAATAAAAAGATTCATAAGGTAAATAACCGTGAAAAAGGAAAATGACGCTAGGAGTACTGCAATTGCAGGGGTATCCAATACATTCCAACCAGAAAGTGAACTTGTATCTCCTATAAGTTATATATATAAATACTGTTAGAATAAGTTTTTTAATCGCCAATCAATTTTGATTTCGTACTAACCTGTAAGAATTTGGAATGCGGCCCAGAGAGCTGTATCAGTTCTCATAAATAAATTTGTGTTGGGATCAGGTACCTCAATAATCACACTAGTATTTGAAACTGTTCCATTAACGTCTACTGGAATCAATTCATCAGTCAGCGCCCATGGATTATTTGGGTCATCATTATGTATCGGTGGTGTGCTTAGTGAAGTTCCTGACTTTGGCTTTAACAGTATGAAAAACGCATGTGCATAAGCAAAGACCACTATGCCGAGCACAATCAAGAAAGAAAACACCTCTCTTGCCACGCCAATTATTATTGCGATGTAGATTCCAAAGTATTCAAACGGTCTAAGCAGCATGAGTAGTTTTAGCCAAAAAATCAAGACTGATATTGATCTTGTCCATGTCGGAATTGCACCATCGGATAGCCAAACCGATGTAATACCAAGAGGCATGCCATATGCGGCCACGTCTTATAATATTGTGAACAATTAATTATTAGTTAGTGTATGTTTAAAAACGAGTAGTAAAATTAATTTTGTGTGTTAACCTACCAATCCAAGTCCAAATTGATAATATATAGTCAAGTCGTTTATGTACAAGCTGTCTCAATATCATGACATGATGCCAGCTACCAAAAATAACAGTTATCAATAAGAAAAATTTTCTACTGTCCTCTGGAATCAGACCATCCGTTATTGCCATTGAGAATAAGGCAAAATACGAGATAAACGCAACGGTTATAAGACAGTGATATTTTAAACCAAAAGATTTCCACTTGAAATTAATTATAGCTTCAGACTCCCATGTTTGATAAAACATGGAATTTTTGTTTCTTGTGCCTACGATAAAAGGGCTTGCAGGTGGATCGAGAATATCTTTCCAAACAGTGTATTGTTCAGGGTAACTGCAATATTTGGGTAAAGGTACCATTAACGTTAAAGTTGATCGTCTCTTTGGACTAAGAAAAATCCTGCGGAATGCACACACTGGCATGCGCCAAACGTAAAATACAGTGTTCAGGAAAAGTAAAAATCTGAACCACGTCTGCAAAATTCTTATCCGGAATTTTCTGAATCCTGAACTCAGCTTTGCGTCATGCTTTAGCAATTTCAATCGCAACGGTAAATCAATTGAACGACTCAAAGAACTCTGACAGCCGAATTTGTTATTAAATGCGTACAAGTGATCTTGGCTAAGATGCAGTCGGTTGACAAATCTGCAATTGGGATATATCGTCATGATAGTTTTTGGTAGTGAATGAATTGTCTGATCGGAAAACTTTTCGCTTAGCTGTGGAAGCGATAAACACAAAACCCCCAGGTATCCAATATGTGACACCGAGTAGGTGTGAAACTTGTCCATGCACGTACGAAGTACTTCTTCTACCATGAATTCATCGTCCTGATCAATCATGCTGTTCAAAAGTTCCTTTCCGTAAAATACGATATTTAAAGGGCTGGCCATGGATAAATACAGATTGTGGAAAAGTCTGTGACATTCTTGATCTTGTCTATCAAATGTTTCGTCTTTATGGCACAAAATACTCCTGAAACTTGGTGGTGGCCAAGTTGCGTTATTACCGCCAAGTCTCCGTTCGGCCGCCTTGATAAAGTCATCAATTTCAACCCCGGATCCTTCGTCAAATCTCAAGTCATTATCCCAGAAATACTTCATTTCGATATTTCCATCATCTGCTATATGAAGGATACACACACCTATATCACAAAAGATTGCCAGGTCATCGTTACCCGATAATGTACAACCCGCAACCGAACCGAAATACGATAGACGACACGTTTTGGTCGGAAATATGTCTGCCTTATCGCGATATGCTGCGATTTCAAAATTCCTTTTAATATGCCAACGCACCTTCAAACCCACTATCTCTGTAATTCTTTCCCGAGGCGCAAATTTTGAGTATTTAGTAACAAGCGTCCGTATGAAAATAGATGTTGGAACAGTAAGCAAAGATTTTTGGTGCTTTTCAAAACTCTTTTGAATGAGCGGTATAGTAATGGGTTTTCCATAGTCCAGTACAACCATAATGCTGTGGTGAAGGACAAAAGTTGTCCCTGATTTCCAAGAATCTACAACGGCGTATTCATTGAGATCTATTATGTCTAACGGTTTGCCAGCATCTCTCTCGTCATGTTTCTCTTTCTTATCGCCTGTCAAATTATGCGGATTCCACAGAACAGCAGAGCCCATATTTGTAATCGTCACGAGAATTCTATTACCATTTTGTTCTATAAAATTTACATCAATCACCACTTCCTCCTCTCTCAGTTTAATATAGACGGTGTCTAAAGGCAATTCAGTATCGATCCACGATACGGTCAGATTTTGAGCGTTACAATCTCCAGTTACTAAAGCAGACAGCGTGTTGGTTGAATCCACGGCAACCAAAACTTTCTTTACGTCTGCCATAATGTCCATAGCTGACATGACAATATCGTCGCAAAAATGCTGTACTTCAATTTTAGCGTGATTAATATCCCACTGAACCAAATGACCGTCATACTGGCAGATCAATCTGTCTTTAACTACAAAGTATTTAAATCGCTTGGGTGATACATTCGTGTTACACTTTTGTTGCGTCCTGTCGAGTGTCCACAAGTCTTTTATCACCCATTTACGAATATAACTCGCAAATCGATACAATCTGATATCTCCGTGTTTTGTCGTCGTAACGACGACAAGATCGCCCCCGGGAAGAAACGCTTTAACGACGGCAGATCGGGTATTTAAACAATACTTTGGGAGTTGCGTTGGCGATCCGAACGTTATACTTTCGGATTGTTTACATGGATAAATGGCTAAAGAGTTGATTAAAAGAGACGAGTCCGAAAGTTGCAAAAGCGAAAAAAAAAATAGATTATTAAATAAAATATATATTAATATGTGTGTTTGTTTGTTTGTTAAAAGTGTACGGAGGCATACCATTATCAAAAATAAAGGATCGATCATCCGAAACAGCCAAACTCGGGTCATTGTTTTTCTTATCTTGTACTGATGTCTCGAATAACTGAACCAAGTGGTTTCTCCCTTGTTCAATAGACCATATAGCAACAGATTCCGTTTCGGCGCTGTAAGTCGCGAAGCACTGTCCGTGTGGAGATATTGCACATGTTGTGATTGGGCCTCCTCCATGAGGTAGCTCTTCCGACGCGTCTAACGAGATTTCTTCAATGTCTATGATTTCGTGGTCCCGTGTCGCCATTTTGTTACGTCTTTTGAAGACAATAGAGATTATGTACAGTAAAGATCGGATAAAAATAGTCGACAAATTTTACGCAGAAAGCTTTATTTATTACTATTGAATTTACCCTAGTATTGGAAGAGATTTCCAATTTAGTAAATAATATACCGAGACGTGTCACAGCGGATCATGTCAAACCATGTGAGTTTATAAATTTGTACCATCTCCAATTCCGGGTTAAAAATGATAGAAGATGGACAAAAAAAGAATAATAGCTCCGCCCTTTGTCATCATCGTTACCTGTTTTACGTATATGTGATCAATGATTTTGAAAACCGGAGATGCGTTATTAACCTGTGGATCATCATGCAAAAAAAGATGCCTGATTTTAGAATATAACCTTATTAACGTAAAACGCTGTACGTATTATGAGATATTAATATAATAACGCATGTGTCAAAAAAAAACGTCAAGAATTGAAGCATCTAATTTGGCAAACGTTTACATTATGTATAAAGTTGTTGATCAGGTAAAACCATATGACGGCTCATTTCTATATGTAATGCTTAACGCTTAAAAACAATCTGATTATTTAATAGCAAGTCTCAGTTCGGTTGTCTAAAAATAGTCTCATAAATACAAAGTAATTCTTGACATAAAGCTGCGATCGATGTGTTATCGAAAAAGTACAGTTCAATTTGACAATACTTTAGTAAATATTCGTCATCAACAGAAATACGATTTTCGGCGATTACAACTATACTTTAAACTCGAGGCACATTTACCAACATTTTAGTTAGCTGAAATTGCGGTTGAGGTATTAAACACTGTTTAAACGCTATTTATTAAAGATGAGTCATGTGATAATAAGCAAGTTAATATCTCAACATGGTTTATATAAAGTTTATACTGTGAAACGAGATTAAAAAATAACCAATAATTATACCAGAAACCTCGTAAACGAGGGTCTATAATTAACAGTAAAAACTTATTATGGAAACAGGTTTCAATCATAAATAAACGTTACGAAGTTATAAACATAATCAGGTAAAAAATAGAGTTAAAAATAGAGTTAAAACCTTATTGTCAAAAAATATATATATAGAAATATGATTATTTTTATAGAATAAACCCTTATGGTGAAGATAGGTTCCATTTCAAGACGTATGATGTCGTAGAAATCTTTTAGCATACCCATTCGGCTTAACAGTTCATATATATATTTCGTTCTATATAAATTATGTTACACTCATTCGGAGAGCATGTGAGAAATTCAGAAGCTTTAATCGACAAACTGAAGTAACGTTGTCTTCTTACTTATGCTTATTTATTAATGAATTATTAGTTGTTAAGCAACTTCAGAAGGAATTAAACCTGCTCTAAAAGCAGTGACTTAAACTAGCATTGCCAGATAATTCGTGTGGTAATAATGATAATTGAAACTACTTGTCACATTTCAGAATTTCCTAGTAAAACTATGCAAATCGCAATAATTGTGTACTGTGTTGAATAGTGTTATATTCAGCCCTATTATCTACGGTTTGATGAAGCGACATTATTATAATGGTTATTACCATGTACCTGTATGAGCACGATCAAGATAAATTTATGAATAAATAACTTTAAATCTACGCGAGATTGAAAACCATTTTCTTTCAATTGAGTTTAAGATTAGTTGATTAAAAATATTTATACTGTGGATCAATTCTGTTAATAACCGCGGCAACGTACGTCAGCCAATACAACAAGAGCTTAATTTATTTGAAAAAGTTTTCAGCCTGTCAGTAAAGGTTTAATAGCCAGCTTACAATCGGAAATACGCATTAAAAAAAATGCTTAGCAACTACAGTAGCGGTCATAAGTATCCTACCGCTTGTAATTTACGACAGGAATTGTCAAACGCTTTAAGAATTTTCCTGCATATAGTGTATAACAAACCCTGATCATGTGTAAAATTTCAAATCGATCGGAACCGTTGAAAACGTATAAAACCGTATGGCGTTATTAGGGACATAAACTTTAGAAATCCATATCTCCACATGTTTTTAAACAATTTGACATAAGTTTTTTATGTTACTATATTTGGCAATACACGTGTATGATATCATCAAGTATCATTATGTCACATAATTATTTGCAATTTTTAGTAGCAATTACGCAGTAATTCGTTTAACAGTTATTTAAATTCATGCTAATGATCTAGAAAAAAAATCACAGAATTCGTTAGGAAAGAGTCGAGATATAAAATTTTGCATTTTTATGGCTACATTTGGGTATGGGATATAAGTATATTTCGAGTCAAATCTTTGATGTTTGAAACTTGTGTCGTAGGCACCCGATCGATTTGAAATTTTACGCATAATTAGGTTTATTATATATTATATACAGGGAAATTCTCATTATCCCTGTCGTGAATTACAACCGGTAGGATGACTTATACAAATCAAAGCGTTTCAACATGTGACTGTTTCTAAAACAGCGATTAAATACCAATTTAATAGGTAGGTCGAAGCGATTATTGTTGACATGGATAGAACTTTAGTCACCATATCCAGCTGAGATTTCGTTTCTATTGCCCTAAAATGCAAAAATAATAAAACTTTCGCACCTTGCCTTTTGCATACTGGCTATAATATATTTATGTAATCGCTCTAGAATATTGTAATTAAATGCGGTGACATACTTTTTTGGTGTACTGTATAAACTTGTGATTTTGGTAGCTAGGAACTTAATAATGCAATAAAGACTCTAATCATGTGAAATTGATAATGTGATTTAAGCTGATTCCCTCAGTTGCCTTGCTTTTATTACTTTGTCAGATATGGCCATACGTAAAATCAGAACATAATTCTAATAACATGCTTTTTGGAACGTTATTGTCTCACTTCGGATAGTCGCTAAAGCTAGTGCAGACACCTTTGCTGTTTTTTCAGATGTGATACACAAAGGTAAATAGTCACATGACTTCCCATCCATCCATCCATCCATATACAAATAATTCGACCGCACGATAATTCGATCTCCGCCTATAATTCGATCGCTTGAGTAAGACCTGATTTTTTTTCTTATTGTTTTGTCTGCCGTTAATTCGACATGTATGTTAATTCGACCGATAACTCCGGAACGGGAAGCGGTCGAATTATCTGTATAGTCAGCCCTCAAATATTGTGCGTACTAATAATGTCATTTAAGAATGTTTCTGCCGTTTTATCGGAGATCGCTTCCTACAAGCGGTTAAGTCTCAATTCGGAATAGCAAAATTTTGGTTAGACTAAACTGATATGCATGTAATTTCTCAAACTAAGATTAAATTAGGAAAATCTGCTAAATTAATTTAGCCAAAACGACACGCTTTCGCATTTACAACAATAACTAGTTAGACAAGAACACGCGGATCTATACGGTTATTACTGCATCGGGAAATTGGAATAATAAGATCCCAAACCACAAACAAACATTACATTGATTCGGCGTCAGTGATGTGCCCAATTATCCTTGGTGCAAAAAGTACGCTCCAAATGTGATTTACGATTGGATGATATTAGAGTTTTGCTGTTTCACAAGTCAGGCGGTGTCTCCTGCCATTAAGTACAAATGTGGCATTCGAATATGCAGAGATTTTCGCTGAGGTTGTCGTACTAACCCAACGTAAGCCAAATGCAATATATAAAATATGCAATCAAAAAATTTTTTGTGTATATACAAACTCTATTACAACCGACACACACATTCATCTTATTGGTTGCTCTCATGTATTCCTTCTGACGCAGTATCAGGGCGGGCTAGAAATCAAGCCCAAACTTTATTAGGGAAAATGAAAGGAAAAAGGAAAGCATCCCTCCCCGCCCCCCCTTCGCTAGCATATGATGCCCCGTAATTATTACTACGAGTCTCGACTTGAAACGGAAATGTTAAAGCATACCGCAACTGAATGTGCATATTCGAAAATTCTTTACTTTTGTATGCTAAACTAGTTGAGGAAAAGATATAACCTTATGTTGTTATAGTGAATAAACAACTTTACCTAAACCATGCGTCATTCTCTGATTGTTGCAATGCGGATCATCTAGAATAGGTAAGTGCAGAACGCCCTTACAAAATCAAGCGGCATGTTTAATGCATGTTGAGCACGAGTTGTCAAAGAATAGCATCCACTCCCCCCCTTTGATAAACGATCATGATGTTATTAATAACGCTACTGTCATTACCATTGTCACATTGCGAACAGTACAAGACGCGTCATAAGAATTCGGTTGCTACGTCATAAGTATTAAGTATTCAGTATGAAACGTCACAAGTATTCAGTATGATACGTCCTCTTTTTTGAATAAAAACAACAATGACTGAATGGACATTCTCCAACCGGACTTTGCTGATAAATCAAATCACGTATCAGAACGAGAAATTCTTTTTGGAACTCGTTAATTCATTATCATGCATAAATACTAATCGAGTCACGTGATAAAATATTTATGCAAGTATTAATATTCATGCAAGCTTTACACCAATACTAGTACTAATTGGATCTGACAAATGCAACCACAGTTTAATCCGATTTTGGTAGTCGAGAGCGAAAAATTCCCTCTCCCTATTATAAGACTGTGTTACCAGATGATAATAAATCTGATATAAATTACGTATTAGCCTGTGTTCCTGATAGAAGCGACAAATTACACGAAATTAATGGTTAGTTTCCCAAGACCGCGCCTTTTTTTATGAATTGTAATGATTGCGAGCGAGACTATCCACATTAATAGGTACATGAGTTATCAACTCATGTTGTAACCCAATTTCTGATCCGAATTCCATCCGACTCTTCCAACGCAGAATCTTAACTTAATTGGAATTCAAAGAAGGTAAATTCGATTAATTAATGACATCAAAATCAAGCATTGGGTTTAGAGTTCAAACGCATTTATTATCTATCTTGCATGTCTATTTATTTATATCATTTGATATTTATTATTTTTTTTCTTTGTTCATGTTCAACGACCTGTCATCTAATGACCTGAGACCCTTTATTATTAGCCCTTAACGTCAATTTATCTTGTATTTATTAAAATGCACCACATAGTTCTCACGCAAACATTCCACTCTTCATCACTGTTATTTATAAACCAATGATTGGACGTAAAACTTACACAAGTGAGGGACATTATAACGAATGCATATTATTGAACGAATAACGTATGAGAAAGTGTGGGAGCGTAAAAAAATTCCCGATTGACGAATAAACACATGCAACAGTCCCGATTCATTGTTTGCGTATGTTTGATGTATGCTAAGAGGGGGGGGGGGTTAGCTTTTTCCATTGTGAAGAGAATATTCGCTCTATTGTGAAAATGGATACGCATCAGTTGAAGATATAATAAGAACGACGACTACAAAGATATCCTCACCCACGCTGCTTGCCTGATGAAAATCATGTTTGTTTGCAGGCTATTTGTTTGTTTGGAAACAGTAATAAACAGTATGTCAGTTGTTCGCTTTATTTTTTCACACTTGATCTTTCTTTCGCAAACTGTGCGTTTGTTTCATGTCAGGGACCGTTATTTTGATTGCCATAAAAAATTATTATGATTATTTACAGAAGCCTTTCAGCACAGATCACACACACAACCGGATTGTGGACATCATACGGGTGAACTGCATGTAATTAATTATGTTGTAGTATGCATTTCTTATGTGAATGTGATATGTGATAAGAGAGAATCGACGGAAAGGGGGGGAGCGATGATGGACAATGGGCTCGTGCAGTAAGAACCATGTAGGGATGAGTCTCACGCTTATTGGATGTGTGAATGAATATCACATCCCGATATATATCGTTATATCCCCGAATATAAATGAGCAAACTAATTCAAAATTAAATGCTACAAACACAACAAAAAACCATAATTTTTTTTTTACTTTTGATAACCTAAACTTTTCACAATGTACTTTTTGTACCAAATTGTTCAAACTTTTAGTTTCAACCCATGTTTCATTATCATCTTCGAATCCACATGTCAAACAGCCTTTGTATTGTTAGCTACACAATACTAACACATATGCAATACACAAGTATTATATGTATTCTTTCTTATTATTATCAGTATCACTATTGCTTATGTCTCTCGTCTATCATTCTGTTGATATCACTCTTTCGATTCGAGTCGCGTGTATAAAGAGAATAGACCAACACCGTTAGTATTAAATTTTTTTGTTGCATGACCAACAGCTAAACTTGCATACAACCGACATATTATTAGAACACAGTTAGGTTATAATTAGACAAGTCTGCCATTTGACAAAATTATGAAACATTTCACGACTGATGATCCACCCCACCTTTCCCCCCCCTTTTCTTCTCATCCTCTACAGCCCGATAAAAATTCGTATGGTCGAAAGAGCCTAGGGCTTTTTCTTTTTAATAGGTAATTAAAACCGATTCTAATATCGGACTTGTCAATAATAAGTGTGTTTGTAGTTTGGACTAATAGGTTAATCCTTATTATTATTATCGTTTCATGTGTATGATTCCCAAGGCTTTTTTCATCTTGCTAAATGGAGAGATTATCCTAACTTATTCCGACATCCGACCACTCTTGATATCGACTCTTTCCATTCCCATACATCATCACCTGCCAATAAAAAAAATACGTATAAAACCAATTTGTACTAGTGCATTTTGGCTAGTTATAAAAAAGAAATATGTATTCATTATACGCTATTACAATACATTTATACAACATACAATAATACAAATGTGCTACCCACGCCTCCCCCAACCCTTGTCTCATTTAACCCTTCCTTTGTCCAAGATATTCGCATCTCTAACCCATATAAGCAACAAAATCGTTGCTTCCCCCCCCTCCCTTCCTCCGACTCTCACTGTCTTTTCAAGTTGCAGCGCAATTGGAAATCACGTTCTCGTCTAGACTGAGAGAAAACTCCCCCCACCCTATTTGTATAATAGATTTATATCGAAAACGAAAAACAAAAAAACGACTATAAAGTACTTTATAAATTCAGCGTCTTGTACATTGTCCATAATATATAAAACTTATCTCTCTCTCGGACCGACTCTCCTCAAATTCTAATGGACACTAAAAGACTGACTATTATATGATAGACAACTTGTATTCTAGAGAATAGACAGCCCGCAATATTAATTATTTAAACATAAACAATATCACTCCAAGCGAGATATCTTAACCGTTGGATCCAATACTATACTCAAAGTAGTTATCGCGTCAAATTTTGGCTGAAATCATACCTCGGATCAAAAAAAAACAACTACGGGGAAAAGTCCCTCCAAATTTATCTAGTGGGAAAAAAAATCTGAATTTAACAAAAGAACAATCCCCAAGGGCATCTGTTGCCGTTTTAACGTATAATTATTGAAAAAACAAAAAAAAAAAAAAAAAAACCACAAAAACTGGCTCATAAATCACATCATCCTCTCACACAATGGCCCTAGTTTACCAACAAACTCTTAACAAGTCTACAGTACTCATAACTCAACCCTCGCCTTCTTCTTTCGCTCTTACCAATAACCCCCGTCTGGACTCGGCCATATGCATGCCATCGAGCAAGAAACCATCGGCATGTTCTAATTCAGTAAAATCTAGATATGATATAAAGAAGAAGAACGAAGGTCTCGAGCGATGGGTAGAAGATCTACTACAGACTCTGGATAATGTCATGGAGAAGACTTTGGGTACTGCCGTTGAACGGGATTCCGGAACGAGAGTTAAAGAGGTTTGTAGATGTGAGCGTTGGGGTGTTAACATTTGGTTCACGTCGAGAATTCTCGGGTTGGGATATCATGTTAACGAAAATGTTCCATCCAGTTGATGAAACAGATCGATGATCGTTTAAGCAAAGACTCGTCGGATGAAACTATTATTGCTGAAGAGGTAAGAAACGTGTGCACAATATAAAACGTTAATTTTACATATACATACTATTTAAGACTGCTACCAATCTCCCTCCACTGGATTGTTAATCATAAATTGTATTCGATTTGCAGCTTGCACAAGACAATACAATCGACTGCGAACAATTAGCAAACGATGTAAGTAAAGTATTCTATACAATTTACATTGTAATATTGTCTTTCTTACGCATTTTATTGTCACTGTAGGGTTTGAGTGATGATGCGTCAACAAAAGTACACACTCAATCGGATAGAACTATTTCTTACCAAGATGTAACAGCAGATGCGGTAAGTAATCATTGTGAAATATCATGTGCGTATAATTCAACATTTACTGACGGTGTTCGTCGATACACTAAAACAGACATTGACAGAAAAGTGCCCCAAGAATTCAATAAAAAACTTTTTCAGAAAAAGGAAGACAAAAAAGAGCGTTCAAGTAAGTCTAATCAAGGATAAACATTTTTTATTGCTATCACTAGGATCGCATTAGAGTTACCATTGCATTGTCATTTGTTAATGCCCCCTCCCCCTCTTTCTTATGCATGCCTAATTAATTTTTACTCCACGTCTATACTTACAGCCAAATAGTAGACAAGCTGTACCCGTAAATACAAAGACGCCGCCCAAGCAACGAATCGAATGTCCACGACAGAATAGTAGAAAGGCAACGATTCTCGGAAGGATCGAAAAGAAGGGTAAATGGGAACGACTATTGAACGACAGATTCCTCTTAAACAAAAAGGATATTATTGGGGAGGGACATCACGGATCAGTCATGAGAGGTAAGATGTTTATAGTCTATTTTTTGCGTTTGCTTTCTAAAAAACCTTTTTTGATAATTTTTTTTTTGACACCCTTGTCTTTCTGTGCATTTCACAGGCATCGACCTTCAGACCAATGAAAAGGTTGCCATTAAATGCCTTCGAAAACAATACAAAGTCACAGTTGGCGGTTTCCAAGTTGCAAACAAGAAACAACGCAAGAAGAACGACGAGCTCATCAATGAAGGTCGAATGATGGTTCGCATGGAATCCATCCCCCACCTAGTACCCTTGCTCGACCTTGTGGAAACGGCGAAAAAAGTCTACTACATCATGCCGTTAGCTACCAAAGACCTATCCGACATAATCTATCGACGTCGTCTGACCGAGCAACACCTTCGCGAAATAATGAAACCTGTATTCCAAGCCATAAAACACATGCACGATTCGGGCTACGTTCATCGAGACATCAAACCTGAAAACATTCTGTTGTATGAAGATGATCAGGCCAAGTTGGGAGATTTTGGCTTGACGACAGAATTCGGATGCCATTCTGGATTTCAAGTTGTCGGAACACCTGCATTTGCCGCACCCGAAGTGCTTGGCCAGTTTTTGCGGACCGATGCGTCTGCATGGCTCAATTACAAACGAGCTGACGTCTGGTCGCTCGGGGCAACCATGTATACTAGTTTTGTCGGCAGGTATCCATTCGATGATAAGAGAACGGCCGGCGACGATTTGAAGAGAGAAGTACAGTTCCCTGAAAAGTTCAATAATTACTCTGAAGATGCCAAAGACCTGATTGCAAAGCTGATGATTCCTGATCCGACAAAGAGGATTACTATCGACGATGCGTTAAATCATCCCTTCTTCACTAATCACGGCCAATAAGGTGTGTAAACATGCAACAGGGATTCGAATGATTTGCGTGGAAAGAGCGAGAGAGTGACGGCTATTCGAAGGGAAAAAAAAATGGAGAAATAGAAAGTTTGAAACGTGAGAGATCCAGTGTAAAGACATCTTTTGAACTTTTTTTTTTTTTTGGTTTCTTCTCCCCCCACCCCTTTCCCCTCTTTTGTTTTTGCATTAACATCATTTCACTGCATGTGATATACCACTTTAAAATAAGCAATTTTCATTACATTGGAGGGTTCTTTTTGACCTATCGTAGGACATTGGTTTTTTTTTTCATACTCCCGCTTGACTGGCTCAGAACGGTCTAATTGGCTAATTACAATAATCAAATTTTTTGAATTTTTAAAAGAGGAAAAAAGGGGAAGTTCCGTCTTGAGTTTAAAAAAGGAAAACTTTTTTAAATTTTATCTTTATCTTTTCCCATCCCACATTCGAAACTGGGGTAATATATTTCTTGATTACGTACCTCACCTTTTTTTTCCTCTTTGAAGAATTAAGATTTATTGTTGGAACAAAAAAAAAAACAAAAACAAAAGGATGCAGCGCATTCGTGTTCTTCTAAGGCTTTTGCTATTCCCGGCAAATAATATTAGTTTTTTTTTGGTCACTTTTCTTTGTATATTATTTTCTTTTTCCCTTTTCGAAAGAAAAAAAAAGGTATTCTTTGTCCCCTATGTCTCATAATGATTAAAAAAAAATATGATGCACTAATCTTCGGGTGATAAATGGAGAATGCTGTGGTGGGGATAAGCCGTAGTGGTTAGAAACATGTTTGGCGTCACAGTGATTATCCCACAGCCCGCTTCTTTTCAGCTGCTATGGTCAATCCGCCTTGCATTTCTTTTACGCCTTCCTGTTTCAGCCTTCCGGCATAAACACGCATTGCTGCGTCTTACAATTGATAATCGTTGCATGAGATGTTGATTGTCCTCTCTGTCAGTCTTAATTACAAGTAGAAACGTATATATATTACTTTTGTCGAGAGAGTGAATAGTAACTGGCTCTGGTCTTAAATCTTTGCGAATTTCCAGAAGTGCAAAACTTGTCTAAAAAGCATTATGACAACAGACTACAGAATGTAAAGTGCTGTATTAATGTAACTGCATGCTAATTAAATTAAAACCCTTGTCCCAGCCCATAATAACAACACCCCAACCTTTTGCTTGATCGTAGTAAGAGTCAGCCTCGAATGTTGTACTGTAGATCCGTATGTATCGGAGAAATCCCCCAAAAAAGGTTGAACCAAAAGCGTTTCAACTGGGTTGATGTGTAAAAAGACGGCGAATCATAAATCGTTTAAATGTAAGAAACTTGAATACGCGTAAACAGGGGTATTAATATTCAAAAATTCTACGGTATGTTGCTAGTGGTATCACAACGATTACAAATTGAGGCAAAATGGCGCGCCGTATGTGTGACAGCAAACTTATGGTTTGAGGGCATTTTTGCTATTGACGCTATAAGCGACGTTTACATAAGTAGCTCTTTAATGTTCAACGTCGAGAGTGTCTTGCGGCGAACTAACGAGCGAGCGAATAAACTAATATATCTTTGATGATTATAATATTAAACAACTGTGTCAAGATTATAAAAGATCATTTAGTTGACAAACAGTTACATAAGTAAAACGCTCTTCTTTAGCCTTTATAATAACACTAAATAATTTTGTTGTTGTTGTCATTAAATTATAATTACTATTGTAAAATTACTTTATAACAATTAATTTTTACTATTGCGTAGACAATAAACAATGAGTGGATAAATACTCGAATAACTATTACTGTCGACTCGGCAATTACCTGTCGCCTGATCACCAGTTTCGAATAAATGGCTTTAGAAAGGGCCGAGTCATTTGCAACAACAGATTAGCTTTAACATTGACAGTTTCTTAGTACACAATCAGCCTCGATAAGTCGGTTTTGACTTGAGTCGGCCAATTATAAGTCGATTCTTTAAGATTAAGCGAGTATTTTGTATATTAGTATTAGAGTATCAATAATAACGATTTAATTCAATGTCTTATCTTCGATTACATGATTTTCGATAAGTCGATCAATGAAGCAAACCATGCTATATTCAGTTATCACATGTTCTCAGTAAGTAGGTTGATCTATGTAACCGCCTATATGACTGGTTCGGTCAGCAAAAAAATATCGGCATATGAAATTTTTATTATAAATGTCGCTATATTAATATGGGGCATGGCTGCAACAAAACCAGACAAAGTGAACATCTTACAAACGTAAAATGAGAGGGTGATTATGATGTGGCTGTAAATTGACCAGTGTGACTGGTGACATTTTGAAAATAATAATAATATAAATAATGGTGTTCATTCATAACTTATGGACTTGTTAATTTTAATGTTCACTTATATACTAAAATGTGATGGATATAAACTATAACAGGATTGATATATATAGGATGGTCTCTATATAAAAAAATATTAATATGAAACTAATTTACATTAAATCAGTCATGGAACCCTAAAAATCACAGCACCATTAGGAGTATTTTAAAAAAAAAGCAAAGAGAAAAAATTGCTCCATACTCTACAATTAATAATACCCAAACTCTCCAGGAATATCTAGATATTATAAAATTTAATTCGACACTTTCATCGTAGCCATAATTACCAAATACAAGTAAAATCAAATGGTAGCTTTATTTTTATTCTGCCTGCCCGCGTTGTCACAAGCAATCTTTAGATATTTTTTTGCCTTTATTCAATCGTTTAATTCCATCGAGTACCATGCTCAGCGTACCATTAGGACTTTTGCCGATAATTTTGTCTTCATCAAGGTAATTAATTTGTTCGCGTACTGCTTCACCAAAAAATGCACTTTACGCGGACTGAGATAATAAATCTTACCTACTTGCTGATTGGAATGGAGCACGAAAACGCCTTCTTAGTCGTACGATTTCAGTCAATATACTGTGCCTTAACCGTACGATGTTACTTGTTTGTGTTTATCATACGGTTTTAGTCGTTCAAAATTTTTTGAATGATGGTGATACTATTTTGAAAAGTGCTATAATATTAAACTCTGACAGCTCCAAAAAGAAAACGCCGCTCAATTCTTATGATTTTTGCGCTGTAACACAATAATAATAATAAATTGAAAAAAACTTTTTTGTTCAAAACCATGTCGTTAGTTCCAACATGCATAATTCAGCAATTGACAGCTTGGTCCAATCCTCCTTAGAAAGTGAGCATAAACTTGAATGGATTCATTACTCGGATATTACCGACATAAAGCCGACTCAAATTGACAACGTTTACTGCGCTATTCGCAAACGTAACGATGATGATGTGATGATAACGCTAGTATTACTTGGAAGTAACGAAGAATGTGCATCAACATTTGTGAGTGAGTTTGCCAGGATATACTCACTTTCAACACACAAGTACAATAACAATGACGATAATCAATTTAGACGATACTCCGAATGGCTTAATCGTCGCAACGGACGCATTATTGGATTCACCAACTACAGTAACAACTATTACATGGTTGCCGATAGAAAGTTTTACCGTTGTTATTCTCTTTATGGCTTCTGCTCCACATGTGGAATACTCCGATGTAGTCCCGTGTGGTGCATTTGTGGTTATA